ATTCCCCCCCCCCCCCCGGGTGCAGCCCAGCCCGTCAGAACAACCACACGTAAAAGAAGAGCATGCCGACGGCGGCAAAGAACAGCAGCCACAGCCTCCACCCCACGCCCGTCCGCTCGGCCATAATCTTCATCCTATTCATGGTGCCCCTGACGCGCATCCTCGCGTCGTCAAAGGCGTCGTTCATTTTATCCGCCAGGGCGGAGGACTCGCGGATTTCGTCGCCGATAGCCACCGTCATCTGCACGTCGTTGCCGTCAGCACACTGCCTAATACTCTGCGTTTGCGTCCCAGGGGCCACCACGTACATGCTTCAGGGTGCGGACCTTGCCCAGTATCCCGGCGACCTGGTCCTCGTTCTGGCTCTCCAGCTCGTTGAACACGGCATCGCTGTACTGGCCCTTCCTGTTTGGCGTGGCGGCCCTGTAGCCGTGTCGCTCGCCGTAGCCGCCGTTGGGGTATGCCGCCGCGTAGCCCGCGTTGTAGGGGTTGGGGCTGTGGCCGCGTGGAGTGTGCTCGCCGCCGGTGTAGCCTTCGAAGAGGGCGGAGCGGGAGTCGCGCTGGTGAAGAGACGACGCGCCGAACCTGGATGCCAGTTAGCTTGGCTGTCTGCTGCGAGGGAAGCTGGTTTGGGGCCTTTGTTTTGTTTGGTTGAGGCGCTTGGGGGGAGGATCTAGAAATAGGAGGTTGACGGACCGCTGGGCCATAATGGCAAGAGGGCTATTTTCCTGGTGTGCGGGAACGGACTAGAGGGAGATGATATCAAAGGAAAATAGCGGGAGGCAAAAACAGGAGGAGAAAAGGAGGAGAAAAAATGGAGGAAATGAATCTTAAAATGTCATCTTCCAAGGTCGAGTTATGGCGTAGGTGGTCTTGATGCAAGATGCAAGTCTGGAAGATGGACGCCACATGTGTGCTTTTGGGACTTGGAACTGCGAGTGAGTGAGAAGCTTCGTGGCATGCGATTGGTAGGCTGGTTGGCGACAGGTGGTACGTACCGCGGAGTGCCGACTTGCGTTGGAATGGCGAGTGCCGGCGTGTTAGCCGCGATGTATCGCGGGCATTCCTAAAGGACCTAGGTGTGTTGGCTCCGCGTTTAATTGTTTTCTGCGGAAGTAATATAAAATCATTGCACGGCTTTTGGACCGTCTCAAGTTTTCTTCAAAGTCCTTTGATGGCTAGCTTAGCATCCATCATAATGCCACAAGCTACTAGGCACCTATCACGAGAGGTGAAGCTTTACCTCAACAGTAGGGATTGAGACACCCCGTTCTGGGTTCCGATTGAAGAGGCCTCGAACCGAATATTGGGCGTGTAGCAGGGAACTATATTTTGTGCTTCACCTAGCTGACCGCCATCTACACTGCTGAGAGCACAAGCAGCACAGTATAACACATCACACTAGAATTTGAACGGCAATGCTTTCATCTAACTGTGCTCCCCCCCAAACGGCTCACTATTGCCTCCCTTGCGTTTATATCCATCCACGCGTGAACCACACATGTAGATCCAAAGACGGCCCACCAGCAAGCAAGCGAATTCCCGCAGTCATAACATATCCGTTCTTGTTGTTCCAATTCTTTTTGGTAGAAACCCATGCCCGTCAGAGCTATGGGACCATGCTTTCGCTATCGTAGCTCATACGCAGGTTCGCCCTACCCCCATTCATGGGGTTCATCTAACCCGACATCTCAGTGTCCTCAGCAGGAGGCTGGAAGTCATCGTCATCTTCGTCTTCATCCTCATCCGCGGGGTGCTGCTCAGCGGCTTTGGCAAAGTCGATGACAGTGCCGCGCGTGCGGCGGCCACCCTCAACAATGTTGTTCAGATCAATCTCCTCCATGCCGTCTTCCTCGTCGCCTAGAAATGAGTCATTAGCAAAGTTGCGCTGTTCGCGTGTCAGAGCCACCGGCTGCTGCGCTTACCACCCTCGCCGTTCTAGGTATCCGTGTTAGTTGGCTGAGCAGAATGAGAAAGCCAGTTAGCAAGATTGGGTGCATACCTCTTCCTCCTCCTCGTCGTCGTCATCATCGTCCTCTTCTTCGTCCTCTTCATCCATGGCAGCATCCTCAGTGTGAGGAACGCCCTCAGCGGCGGCCTTGCCCTTGCCCTTGCTCTCAGCAAAGCCGGTCTCCTCAGTGGAAGGGTTGGTGGGGAGAGTTGTGCCGTTCTCAGCCATGGTTGAAGTGATTGAAGTCGAAACGATGCTATTTGAAGGGGTTTCGGAGCTGGAGTGAGATGATGAGAAGGGCAATTAGGAAAAAAAAAGATTGGGAGTGGGCGTGAGTTTGGCGTATGAGATGGGGGTGAGCTTCAGTTCACTTTTCTGCATGGCGCTTGGCAGGCTCTTAAACCTGGCAGGTGCTGTGGCTAGCAGAGAATAGCAAAAGCACGTCTGTTTGTACGTAGCAACGGCGCTAGTGCAAATTTGGCTAGCGCATTTCGAAAAGGTAGGTCACGTGCGCCCCCCGAGGGATGGGCTCCGTTGTTGCAGCTGTTGCAGATGGGACAAAATGCAGCGTGCTTAGGCTGTGGTGGATCAATGATTGTTTGTTAGAATGGAGAGGGACCGATTCGTTGCCCTGGCGGAATGATAGGAATTATTAGAGTCTCTCGGATGTCGTATCGTACGTAGGACATCGCCTATGCCGCATCCACAGGAATGAATCCGACGCATAAAGTAAATTGTATTCTAGGAACTCGACGAGCTCAAAATACCGAGACTCTCGAGTCGTTTGGTCCTTGAAACCGAATGGAGCCGTACCCATAGCGATTGAGTCACAATCTGTAGCTCCAGTGCCAGCATCGTCACCGTCGCTTACAGAGAGAGTATTGTCACGCCTCACGAAATAACCGCCCAACCAATCATCAAATCCATAGAATAAAAATCGATTAACATGTCTATGTCCCATCACCTTCTCTTCTATTTCCCTTGCTCTCCACCGCTACCACTCAACGCTATGAACACTGCAATGCCAATCATCCACCAGTACCTGTAAATGGTCAGCACGTCCACCTTTCATATACCCATCATACTCAACTCCTAAAATCATGGATATAACGTACTTTTGCAAGAAAGTCTTCTCAACCTCCTCCTCGACCTTCTTCCCGTCCTTTGACACGACAACCGGCTTATTCAGAACCGGCTGCGGCCCCCTTTCCTCGGTCAAAACCACAACCTTGGGGCCGAAATCCCTCGTCTGCCCGGCGTCAATCTGTACGCCCTTCAATGCAGCACTTAGCACGTCCCCCCTCGAATTAACGGAGACTGTGATGGTGGGGGAGTACCCCTTGGCGAAGTTCTCTGTGGAGGCGACCGTTGTTCCCGAGAGCCAGGACTTGACTTTGGGGTCGTAGACGCCGATGCGGACAAGGGAGGATGAGTCGGGGATGTCGGGGGCGTCGTAGGATGTTATGGTCGAAGAGTCGAGGGCGGCGAGGTCGTAGGATATGGAGGCGAACGGGAGGGGGGCTTGAGGGTGGGAAGAGGAGATGGGTTGGATGGAGATTTCTGCGATTTGCGGGTTGGCGTGGATCGTTAGGGCGGCGCAGAGCGCTGAGAAGAGGATTGTTGTTCGCATGGTTGCCGGGAGGGAGGCGACGAGACTTGACCGTGGTGCTCTGAGAGCTGGGTGATGACGAACCGACTCTGGTGGTTGAGCGCGAGCTGGAGCAGGAACCGCACATGGAGAAACGTATTAGGCAATAGTGGGTCTCGCCGTCGTGAACGTCTGGTCGATTTCAGACCTCAAACCAAGCACGAAACCGGGTGCATGTCTCTTCATTCTGACGTTCCTTCGCCCCTGTGCTAAGAATGCTCTTCACTTTTCCATCCAGCACAATCGCACTCGTAACCAATCATTCGATCCTGCACCTTTTTGCTTCCTTTCATAATTCTCGAATATCTCTGGAACTCGGCTGTCGGCGCTCGCATAATCTCTGGCTAATGAGTGCTTATCTTTGTCGCGTATCGTGGCATCTGCACCACGACAAAGTAGAAACGCGACTAGCAAAGGGTACGAATCCTCTGCCGCGTAATGGAGCACCGTTTTGCCATGCGTATCCAAAGAGTTGATATCAGCTCCGTAATTTTGCAGAGTCTTCATCATCCGTCTGCTACGTCTCGCTCTGTGCAAGAGATCCATGCGATCGAAATCTGCCTTTGTAAAACCAAAATCCTGTATCAAATATTGGACAATCTCGACTTGGTTTCTTTGCACGCCATTCAGCAGGATGCCCTCAATGCTGTCACGCGACAGATACGCCTTGCCTCGCTCAAAGAGAAATCTGAGCATGCCGAGTCCCGCCTCGACCGCGACCATGCATAGGCTGTGCCAACTATCTCGGTCTCGTTTTGACTTTGATATGTCTGCTTTGCCGTCAAGCAACCATAGGACCATTTCTATATGCCCTCCAGCAACGGCAGCCTGAAGTGTCGTCCACGCTCGGGGATTCGAAGGTGATGTCCCTTCTTCATCATTCTCAACTATAGCTCCATGATCAAATAGTTTCTTGGCGATGTCCTTTCGCCCGTGGTAACATGCCAGAGCCAGAGGCGAGGTTATCTGCGAGGGTATTTTATCAGTATATTCTTGAGCATTTCCTTCAGCATCTTCTCGGGCATATTCTCGCGCATCCCCTTGAGCATCGTCTTGAGCATCGTCTTGAGCATCTTCTTCAGATGAACTCGGGTCTACTCCCCCTTTCAGCAGACGCTCAACGATACTGAGTTTGACTTGTGAGTCCCGCATCACAGTATCCAATAGCGTTCTCGCCACATCCTCTGTGTATCTGTTTAGTCGAATAACCAGTGTTGAAAACTCCCTTAATTCCTCCTCCTTTATGCTTGCCGCCTCTACCTCTTTCTCCAGGATTTCAAAGACTGAAAGGCATAAGGGCGGGCCCTCCACAAGCAGAGTTTCAAGTACCTCCCATCTTTTATGGTAGATAGCAATGGACAAAGTTGTGGCGATTTCGTCATTGCCAGCTCCGAAATAGGCACCATACTCAAGAAGCTTGCACACCAACTCGACATCTGCCTTTTCTACGGCCACTTGTAAGCACCTGCGTCCATGTTCGTCTCTGGTTTTCACATCTGCATTTCGGCAAAGTAGGAAATTGGCCATCCCAAAATTGTTTTGATGACAGGCTTTGATCAGCGGAGTTTCGTCTGACGGTGAAAGAGCGTCGATACTAATACGGTCACCGAAAGGACCGAAATGGTAACTTCCAAGGAGTAGTCTCTCAGCAGCGCTCGGTTCTCTGATGTAATGCAAGAGCGTATCTCCCTTTATCGTCTGTTTTGCCGAGTCATTGATCGCAAGGACCTTATTAAAAAGGACGGCGGTATCGTCAATTTGTATAGCTCTGTCAAGAATGGCGGCTTGGGCTTTACATGATGCTGTGTTGGGTCCTATGGAGCGAGAAACCCTGGGGAAAGCACCGAGGAGATACTCAACCACATCGCGAGACTGCTCATCCAAAGCGTTGCCCAGCAGTTTGTCGTACACTTCGCCGCATTTGAGGGCCAGCAGAGAAAGCCGCTCCCTGTTCCCGGTGTTGCAAGCCACCATGAGCGGCCATTCATGCCCAAGAACTCCTCCAGGGTCGGCACCCAGCGCAATAAGTTTTTTGACCAGTTCCAAGTTGCCAAAGCGGCACGCCACAAATAAGGCTTGAGTGAGGCGATGGGCTCCTTCGGCGTCAC